TATGGTAACCCTAGGAAAATAAATAAATTAATACATCTTCTCACTCATGACAATAACAACCATAGCAACACAGGTACCATTTAACAAGCATTTACCACGTAGTAGACAATGTGCTATAGACTATGCCATATATAAACTATACCATTGGATCCTTAGAGAAATTTACTTATAGGTATATCTGTTCTCCTTTTAAAAACGAGTGTTCCAGAGATGTTTAGCAACTGGCCCAACATCACAAAGCTGGTGTGCAGATAGATGGTGCTGCTGAAATATGAATGTTGTCTCAGTGGCTCTAAAGCTTTGCCTGCAGGAGAATGACTCTTTTGTACTGGAGATGGGGGGGATGGATAGGTCCTCTCTGCCCAGAGCAGCTTCATTTGCTCGGCACAGGAGGCCCCCTTATCAGATTACATCAACGCTTAGATGACTGAAAGAGTCTTGACCGAGCCTGGTGATGTTGCCTGATCTTGGGAGCCAGGAGATCACGAGCCTGACTTCCAAAGATCCTCAGAGCCCCAGAAATACGCTGGGCCTTTGCACCCTACTGTTTGAGAGTGGGAACCAGAAGGAAGAGTGGAGGACAGTGGTGGCCTGTGTTGGTAGTTTGTGTTCCAGGCCTTTGTTTAACGGCTCATTTAGACAAGACTTAATTACACCAGTTTTCCTTATGATGGGAAAACAATGGAGGCTTGTTGTGTTCATCAGCTAACTGGATCCCAGCCCTAAGTAGACACAATGCTTGTAATTAGGGGCAGCATGGAGAGGAGATCTCAATTTTCCTCTGCTTGTTCAACAGAAACCATACTTGGAAATTTAAAGAAACAGTGATTTGCCTGTTTCCCTGCTATCAGCTCTAAGTTGAAGGGATTCTATGTTGCCTATGAAAGAAAGTTGAAAAGCAGTTTGAATGCTGTTGACAAATACAGTTTTCATAACACTTTGTGCTCTTTGAGGCCTGGACCCATGTCCTGCTGGTAATGTCCTCAGGTTAGCACTTTCAAAAACTTTTATCTTATGGTCACTCATATTTGTTGAATAAATTATGGGTAAGGAAAGTACAGTCTATTGAGAAGAGGTAACTTGGCCAAGGGAGGAAACTAAGGACCCAATGGTATCCTATTAATCTGGGAAGAACAGCCTCCAGTAGAAGATTGAAAGCCTTGAATATTCATTTGCGTCAACACTGGGTCTAAGTACTATTTCTATTTTTTCCTCATCTTTTCTACTAAATTTCTACCAATTCAAAAATAAGAACAAATCAAATAACAACAAAACCTAGGAATGATATGCATGAGTTTTCTTTGTTTCTTCTTTTCGCCCAGGTACTTGAAAAGGGGTTTCAAATTTCTTCTATGGAAATGGTGGTTCTGATTTAGATCTTAAATTATTAAAAATTCAGATGGTAATTAAAAGAAGTGAGATGACCTGTAGAAAACCAAACCTTATATAAATTCATTCCTGATCTTACATGGTGGATATAAGGGTGTGTTTATTGTGATAGCTGGCTCACAAGAATATTGGCATTGAGTGATTTATTTTCAAGGCATTTTAGAGAGTATGGGGTCAGGGTGGGTGGTTGGCTTCTCACAGAGTTTCTGGCAACTGGTCTTTCATGTTGCTTCTGTATGAGTAAGCATGGCTCTGCTTTTAAGAGAAGCTAATAATTAACTTTTGTTGCCCTGATAATTGTCAGTGAGTGGAATTCATTGTTATTTACCTCAATTGCCAGGCAACTGTTAGCCACCATTTATTCAGTATGAAATTTCAAGACAAAAAAAAATAACCATCTGTATATTTACTTCAGTTTTGGTTATGGAAGATTGTATTTTCCAGCAATAAGACAGTTAAAGATAAATTACATATCATTAAAAACAACAACCATAACACCAGGCATGATCAAACAAGAATAGATGGCTGCTGCAATAATATAGAAAACAGAACATGGAAGGAATTCCATAGCCTCAACATTTTAAAACATAGTATCATGGGAGGTGATAAAATGAGTAGGGTCTCAAATCTGCCCTTTTGTCTGCAACACAGTACTTCTCAGATTTCAATGGGTACCTGAATCTCAAGGGGACTTTGTTTAAATGTAGATTCTGATTCAGTTCTAGGGTGAGGTCTGAGATTCAGCATTTCTAGAAAATTCCTAGGAGATGTGATGTTAATTCAGCTCGTCTAGGAACCACACTTTGAGAAGGAACAGTTTGAAAGCTTAAACATTAATACTACTTCTGAAAAAGAGCCCTTGGTGGTTTTTTTTTTTTATTTTTTGGAATTTCCCACAAGGACAATTAAAAACACCCTCAAATTCAAAAGGTAGTAAGAAAGAAACTCCACATGATAATCATTTCTAAAGCATTTTTCTGCCTCAGTGTATTTTGGTCAAGATTTCCAACCAAGCTTTCTCTCCTGGCCTTCACACCTATGGAGCAAACCATTCACAGGACATTCCTATCTAAATGATTCCCAGGCCTCAACAAACAGGTCCTAGCCAGAACTCATGATCTTACCCCACTCTCCAACCCATACCTGGGTTTTCTCTCTCACTGAATCTTCAAGCTGCCAAAGTCAGAAATACGGTCATTAATCTTCCTTCTCTTTCCCTGGCACGAAGTCCTGCCAAGTTTTTCTTTTAAGCCGCTCTTAATCTTACTTACTTCTCTTTATCTGCATCTCTCTTGCCCCGGTTCATGCCATGTGCATTGTTTGCATAGGTGTCACCTGTGGTATCACCCTGCTACAGTGTTGTCTTCTTCCTGGTATTCTTGGACTTTTTGCCTGAACTTTCTACTTATCCTGTAGTTCCTCTGGTGTCCATTGCTGCTGCTCTCCCAATTTAAGTTTGATGTCCTCTCCAAATACTCTCATGCACCCCTTCCCTCCTGTGCCATAGTGCCTGCCAATGGTTTATAACTTTGTTTCTCGTTTGGCATTGCATCTGGCATGGAGTATTATATGTTGAATAAATGCATGATTTGGAAATAAACAAATCAATGAAAAATATTTTCAGAATTAACTCTAAGGGCAGTCTCTGTTGGATGCCTTTGTATTTGGAAGGAGGAAAAGCACACATTTCACAGCTTCTTATCTTTAAGGATCTTTGGGGTAAAGATTACCACTCTGTACCGTACTTCTTCAGGAATAAAATGACCTTAGTTGGAGTGTCACAGCCACATCTTTAATTAGGTGCAGAATAAATGCATCCTGATGCTCTAAACCCCAACTGCGGGGCTACATCTACACGAGGCGTTCTTCGTTTTTTAACTTATATCCTATCATTATCAACAACATCTTTTCTCCCTGCCTGAGAATGTTCTCTCCAGGTTCTTAATTTAGTTTAGAAATCTTGCAACTCATTGGAGTCGAAGGTATCAATGAAATGGACACGTGAGTTCATGGTTGATCCCACTCATTTATGGATAAGGAAAGTACAGTCTATTGAGAAGAGGTAACTTGGCCAAGGGAGGAAACTGAGCAGTTTCATGATGAAGCATTTGTCTTTTTAAGCACACTTCATACATATTATTTAAAATATTTGCAACAACTCTGTAACGCTCTTCAAAAGAATACAGAGAGTGAAACAACTTGACAAGGTCACAAAGAAAAGGGGATGCAAACCTATTGTTGTCCTTTTCCAAAGCTGGATTCGTGTCACTTCTGAGGAAGTATGGCATGTAAAGAGTGAACCTAAGATCTGGCTTGGCATTCTGGTCCTGATATCACCACATCAATGTATCAAAACATTCTACTTAATGTCTCTAGGCTCCCATAAAGTAACTAAGGTGATCATATAATATATCACAAATTGGATTTTTTTTTTTTTTTGCAGTTCTGGGGATTGAATAGGTCCTTGCATGTGTTAGGAAAGTGTTCTACCATTGAGCTAATTGCAATACTTTTTATTTTTCTGAGTACCAGGGATTGATACCAAGGGCACTCAACCCCTGAGCTACAGTCCTAGCCATTTTTATACTTTATTTTGAGACAGGGTCCTGCTAAGTTGCTGAGGCTAGCTTTGAACTTGYGATCATCCTTCCTCAGTGTTCCAAGAGCTGCTGGGATTACAGGTGTACACAACTGTTCCAGCTCTAATTGGGATACTTTTGAAAATGAAAACTGAATGTAGCAGATGATGCCATTTTTTCCCTGCTCAGCAATCTCTCCTTGGATTTCTTTTGTCCATTTTCATGTGCCACTCCTTCCCCATACCCAACTCCCAGCTTCATTCTCTTTAGTCTCTAATGCCAGATAGCCTGGTTCTTTTGGAGAACTGCTGGAAGCCTATAGGAGCTCCTATGTCTCTCCAGCAGCAACTATTAAATGCCTGCAAACTCACTTCCCTTGGAGTATCCCTTGGTCAATAGTGGAAAAGTACAGAAGTGTGAAAATCCAGCTCAATGGTTCAGGGTAAGATACTTCTTTGGTATAAGAAGTATCAGCATTACACTCTGGAGCTCCTTTGCAGACCAGGCTAAAGCTGGGACTTCAGGTGCATGGAAGGACATCTTGGCTAAGCCTCCTCCCTCTGCTGTCTTGCTTTTCCCACTCCCATGATGGTCTTCCATGGGGGCACTTCCTTAATGAATCCCTGGCATACATCCATCTAGTCACCCCAGAGTCATCTTTGGGGAACCTGATCTAAGCCAGTGGAACTAGATTTATAGAGAAGACCATTCTGTACTTGACTGGGTTCCTGAGAAAGGATGGAACACTTCTCAGACATTTTTGAAAAAAGAGAAGAAATTCCCATTTGTATGGGATGACATCAGTATAAACATGATCTAAGATAAGAAAATGGATGAGATAATCCCTCAAGGAATTAGAGTCAAACCTCACCAAATCAGACAGCTTGCTCCCAGAGTTGCTGGCTAACCTCTTCAGCACTAAAATTCTATGTTCAGCAAAGGAGACACAAAACTATACACAGTGGAATCATGCAGAGTAACTTATGCAAAGTTCTCTCCCACCATCCCACCCCAACAAACCCATTCACTCACCAGCACAGGCTTGTTGATTGCATTTTTGAAATTCTGGGGGTCTGGGTTCATGATCACATAGGCATCCATCTTGGCCTTCAGCTGTATTGTTTTCTGATGGGACACAAAGGACAGTTCTCTTCTTAAAGCCACCTCCACAGGAAGCTGTGCACTGAAAGAGAGGGACACACAGAGAGTTGGACCAGGACCAACCAAGGGAACACTAGCAGAGCACCTCTAACCCCACCATAGTCAAGTATTGGAACATCTCAATTACTACACATTTTTTTTTGAAGGAGCTATAGAATAAAGACACTAATAATTTGGAGATGTGATTAGGGAAGTATCCTATATTATAGGCTGTTGGGTAGAATTTGGTTTAGTTTACTGCTGATTCTCTGAAGAACATGTACTTATTTCCCACATTTGAGAATGGTCCATTACTCCTACCACATGACTACCCATGATAATACCACGGATCCCTGTCTACCCAGCCACATATGATTGGCCAATTGGTCGCTGTCTTGAGAATCTTGAATTGAGATTTGGCAAAGGATTCCAACTGAGAGTGAACTATGCAAATGTTAGTGTAGTTTGTACCCACATTCCTTACCAAGTAAGAGAGGTAGAGAAAAATATATGACAAAAATGTGAGTGGCATTAAGTATATACTTAGAGACAATGTTGGAATGAAAGATGGCATGCTTATAGGGTTGGCATGCTTATAGAGTTTATGCCCTTAGTTCTATTGAAAACTCACAACCCAAACACTCATATTGACTTCATGAATGTATGGAGTGAAACACATGGAGAAAGGTAGAATTGCAAACAAAATAGAAGAAAACTTTGTTATCTGGGTCCTGGGGCTTTTCACTTTCCCTGAGAGTAGAGATATGTGGGATATGTGGGAAAGGAAGACCATGGTGGAATGGAGGAAAAAAAGTTTCAAATGGAGTTAGGAACAGGATTGTATATAGAGATTGGGAAGGAAGCTGGGGTCCAAGGGGTCTTTGAGATTGGGTCCAGATGGACCACGTGTGGTCTCAAGCCACTCTCACACATAAGGTTCTGCTGCAATGTCATGATTGGCCATCTGCAGCAGGAGGGAGATTCTCTAACTTGTGGAAGCAATTTCTATTAGGTGATTCCTGGGGATGTAAGAAAATGTTTCTGAATTTATCGGATGCGCACTTTTCTAAACTCTTTTTCTGCTATATAACATATTTTTGTGGTATAAAACCTACAATTTACTATTTTAACCATTTTTAAGTATGCAGTTCAGTAGTCTTAAGGATGTTCACGTTGTGCTCTCACATTTTTCACCATCCATATCTAGAAGCTTTTCACCTTACCAAACCAAAACTCTGTACCATAAACCAAGGACTCACCATTCTCATCTCCACCCCCAGCTCCTGGAAACTACTATTATATATTTTTTTGTCTCTCTAAATTTGACAATTACAGGTAATTTATAAAAGGGGGAATCATATGTTATTTTTCCATTTGTGACTGACTCATTTCAAGTATTATAATGTCTTTAAGTTTCAACCTTGTTGTGACATGTGTCAGAATTTCCTTTTTAAGATAGAATAATGTTACATTCTACACCTGTACCACTAAATTCAAAAAAATTCATTCGGCATTTGAAATATTATAGAAGACCCAACTCACTAGATGAGAGAATTCTCATGCTGGGACACAACTGATTAACTCAGAATAATGCTACCAAAACCTCATTTCTCATAAAGTCCTCCCAAAGGATAAAAGGAGAAAGGTGGCATTTAAAAAAACACATACTGTTTTATTTATTTTGTTCTCTATATAGCTTAGAGCATGGTGATCTGCATGAAACTTCACGTTTGCATTATAAAGTCAGTTTTCTGTGATTAAATCTGAAGGCAATTTTATTCAGTGAATTCATCTCAATTTCTCCATGGACGTGGGCAAGAAGCAAAGAATAAGAAAGAAGTAACTACTCAAATGATCCTCAATCAATGGAAGTCTGCAACAGAGGACAGAAAGAACAATGATGGAAAGTAATCAAGCCAGAATATAATGAAGAGTCCTGCACTAGGATTCAGGAGATTGGGGAATTCATTCCATCTCTTTCTTCCTCCATAAAATACGTCCATTACATCAAGACCAAATGACTTCTTTTCCTATCCTCTGCTTCTAAGAAAGAGACAAAACTGGACTAGTCCTGGGTGCTGAAGCCATGAGGCTCCACTTTGACAGAGCAAATTAGGCTAAAAGAGCTAATTATTAGCCAAGCACAAAAATAAACAAAGACAATCACTGTGCATTTATTAGCTAACTAAAATAGCTTGTGATTAAGATGTATGATTTTTTTTTTTTGCATTTAGTTGGGAGATTAAGCAGGAAGCATGGTTGCTGATATTGTGCAGAACTGAGCACCCCAAATAAAGATGGGGCTAAACTCAATCCTCTCATATCAAAGGCTACTGATTATACTGTACTCCAAATTGGCCTCATTCAATCCAAGATGCTCTGTCCTTAAGAGATATATGAAGACTGAATTCTGTTTTTGCTGCCACTCAATCAACACAGACCAAATGGAAAAATATGAAGAAGAAAAACCATTTGATGTTTTATAATGAATGCAAACGTGTTTATTAAATGCCTTCCTTGAACTAATTAATATATGGCAGGCCATGTTTTATTGCACATGGGAGGTCTTCTTGAATTCAATCCTGTAACACTCATGTAAAACAAGATTTGTTTTTGGGGTCTACTCATAGAGAAACAGACCTTACTCCTCTGCACAAACTCGTTTCCTTTTAATGATAGTAGTTGTAACTCTTTTGTGGAGACTCATGCCTTCAGATTTGGAAAAAAATTTCTTGTGTTAATTCTTTGATAACGTTCTAACTAATAATCTCAAGTTCTCATCTTTCATCTTTTTTTCCTTTTGTTTTTCTTTTCATTTGCTTGAGAGATGGCCTCAGAGTATTTTCCTAATCTTTCCAATTAATATTTTTACTTTTGCTCATAACTAAATTTTGAAACTTATGACTTATGGCTTGACTATGCTCTCTCCGTCACCACCTTGCTGGTAGAAGTGAATATTAATTAGGTGACTATTTATTAAGTGCCCTTAGTCATGCTAACAAAGGGGCAATGGCTAAGTAAGTTACATTAACTTGGTGGAATATTACTGGGAATCAAGGTTGACATTAGATCTGGTTCAATCTACTTGGGGGAAAATTGACCTTGAAGTATGGTTTCCTTGGAAACTACAGAGTTAAGGTAAACACAGAAAATTGTGACTGCCTTATGGCTGATAGGTTATTCTGGATGTGTAGMGTTGCCCTAGATTGGGAGCCTGGGAATTGGAATGTGATCTAGGGTATGTGTGATCAAAATGGTTTAAAATACTGACAGGAAACTAAGGCTGAGGCTTCTTTGTGCCAAGTGATCTTTGCACACCTTGGCTTTAATTCCTTGCCAACCACAAATACTCTGTCAGGAACCAAATGAGGTTGTGTCTTGGATAACAGCCTCCTGAGGAGATGAGGCTGCTGTATCTAATATAATCCTGTTTGCATGTTTCTATGAAGCTAAATAAATACAGTGTTAGATTGGACCTACTGTGTTTCATGTGTCTGGCTACTAATGCCCTACTGATTTGAACCAACATTCCAGCTGATCACGGCTGTGCAGGTATATCCCTGTGAATAATGATCATTAATAAGAGTCTATAAAACTAAAAATATCTGGGGACATTGTGTTGGTCAAAATATTGCATTCATCTATGTCATAAGTATAACCACTAATATAGATTCACATAAGAATGGGATATTTTATGAAAATAARGATTCTCTTCTTGTCCCCTCCTGTCTCCCAGCACCTGGCCCTATGATCTGTCCCAGTGAAGGTAGCAACCAATTTCATAGAAGCATGTGCACTGACCTGCACCTCATGCTTGTGCTATGCCTCTCATCTCCTGACTCTGGGCTTTCTTGTTGCCAAAGAGACAGGTGACATTGTTATAGTTTAAATATTAGGTGTCCTCCAAAAGCTCCTGTGTTAATGTTKGAAAATTCAGAGGTAAAGTGATTGGATTATGAGAGTTATAAACTAATCAGTCTATCCTAGTTTGAATGGACTGTCTGGGTGGTAACTCTAGGCAGGTGGGATGTGACCAGGGACTGAACCTTAGGAACTGTGGGCTGAACTCAACTTTTCCTCCGCTAGGTCATTCTGGTCAGTATTTTAGTCACAGTGTTGTGAAGTTCACTAACACAGAAACAGACCTATTCAGACCTAAATATGGACAACTCAGAAATAGAGGGACATAGGCTCTCTATGGGAAGATTCTTTAACCAAAGGGAGACAGGAACCAAGAGACAACTCTATTTTTTTTTCTTCCTATCCTTGGGTAAACTGCCACAAGCAGCAGGAGTTCACAGAGGTTTTAGAAGACCTTCACATGACAATAGTCAGTTGCCTCCATCTTGAGTGCTGGTCAGTTAGGTAATGCACTACTTCATATTGGATCCTTCTTCTCTGCCTACTTCCTCTTTCCTATTACTGATGCTTCCTTGGCATTTATTTCCTAATAACATGTTAGATTTTGCCTTAAGACTCTATTTCTGAGATCCAGGGGCTTAAACATGGACGTGCGCCTGAGGAACTTCCAGATGCTGTGGCCTAAACATGGACGCCTGAGGCACTTCCAGATCCTAGAGCTAAACATGGATGCTGAGGAACTTCCGGACCTGGGGGCTTAAACATGGACGTGCACCTGAGGAACCTCCGGATCCGTGGGCCTAAATATGGATGTCTGAGGAACTTCTGGATCCAGGGGCTTAAACATGGACGTGCACCTGAGGAACTTCCGGATCCAAGGGCCTAAACATGGATGCCTGAGGCACTTCCAGATCCTAGAGCCTAAACATGGATGCTGAGGAACTTCTGGACCTGGGGTCTTAAACATGGACGTGCACCTGAGGAACCTCCGGATCCGTGGGCCTAAATACCGACACCTGAGGAACTTCTGGATCCTGCGGCTTAAACATGGACACCTGAGGAACTTCCGGATCCTAGAGCTTAAACATGGATGTGCACCTGAGGCACTTCTGGATGCTACGGCCTGAACATGGATGTGCGCCCGAGGAACTTCTGGATACGGGTGCCTAAACATGGACGTGCACCTTTGAAACTTCTGGATCCGGATCCGGGGGCCTAAACATGGATGTCTGAGGAACTTCCGGATCCAAGGGCCTAAACATGGACGCTTGAGGCACTTCCAGATCTGAGGGCCTAAACAAGTTCCCTGGAACTTCTGGGTCCTTGTGCCTATAAAGGGCAGGGCTTGACTCTCAGAAAGGACGTGGCCCATGAAGGGGAGCTGAGTATGGGGCCTGTTGGGGGCAGACTGAGCTGTCGCACTCTGAACTTGAATGTGACGGTGGCCTCACTTCCCGGCCTTCCCCTGGGTGTCACTTCCTCCCCTTCCAGGCGGTGTCCGGGAGGAAGTGAGACTGGGCGCAGGGGCCAGGTCATGAGGAGGGACACCATCTTTCTCCTTGCTTAGCCAAGCGCTCATCCTGGCTGGGGATAGGGACGTCTTATGATGCTAGCTACCTCCTACATCCCTGCCCCAGGACCTCAGGGACCACAGGCGGGGAGTCGTTGACGTGATTCTCCCCTGGCCATTGACCCTCAGCCCCAGGGTCTGCCCAGGGAGAGCTCTGTCTCCCAGAGGGTCAGGGGGCCCCTGTGACCTTCTGCTCCTTACCCACTGTCATCCTGGGCGAGCAMAGKTCAGGACACCAGATGCTACTGAGAGTGACATCTCCTGGATGGGCGCTGGGGACTTTGCCTCTGTCCCCAGGCCTCAGACACCGGATGATCCCTCCCAGAGACAGAAAATAACACCACACTGCCCAAGACTTATTTTTAAGCTTTGGATTCTGAAATTTTCCTGCTGCCACCTTCTTTGTGAAGCTAGTTTTTCAACAGAGACAATATTGCGGGGTAAAAAAACAACAACATGGAGTCAATCAAACCAAGCTGACACATCTGGTCCTCCCAGAGAAATCTAGACTCGGGGGAGAACAGCCATTCTCAACTGGCGAAATAGTGAAGTTCCCTTGTCCTTATTTTGTGTAAGCAAAATAAATAATCTGATGTTAACTCATAATATTATTTTTGAGGAGTGCTTGGCTCATAGGAAAACTGATTCTGTTTTATGGAATGAAGTGTTACCTGATTTTAAAATTAAAAATGAAGCCAATTAGGATTGTTACATTACACTGTCATAATTCTGTTCTTTGATAGCAGAAATAAGTAAACCTTTTTTTTWAAAAAAGTTATTAAAAGTTTAAAACTTGTCTTATTCTGCAATAAGAAATTAGATCTGATTATAAACAAAAATGTAAGAAGTACTTTGACATAAATACTTCATACACACACACACACACACACACACACACACACACATATATATATATATATATATATATATGTGTTGTAGATGGACACAATACTTTATTTTGTTCATTTACTTTTATGTGGTGCTGAGAGTGGAACCCAATGGCTTGTGGCCAGGTGAGCACTCTACTACTGAGCCCCAGCCCCAGTCCCCACTTTTTTTTTTTTTAATAAAAATGCAAACAATGGGATTTGATTCAGAAAAAAAAGACTCTATTTCCTAGAGAATCCAAGTAAGACAAATCAGAATGATAGCAAAATCCACCTATGGAAGAATTTTCATTATTTTCAGTATCATTGATACGGTGTTATTTATGCAATAAATAAGATTTAGGAGAATAATAAATATTTTTATCATTTTCAGTTTAATTACTTTGTTTACCTCTCCATTAAATATGCTGGCCATCTGGAAAACTGCTCTGTGGGCAGACAAGAAACCTGACACTAACCAAATTAGACTACATTTGAAGCTTTAGGACATAGGAAAATCCTCCTGGCTCTAGGGGGGAAAAAAAACCAGAGACTCCAAAATAACCTTTCCTTAGGCTTTTTGCTTCTGGAATAATTTTGGTATTTGATTTTTTTCTCTTTTGAAAGCATTTGATCTTTTCTCTTCTGAAGTCTACACAGTGAACATTGACCTGGGGCAGCTGTGAGTCAACTTTCAGCAGACTTTGAAGTATCAGATGGCAGAAGAGTACTAAACTGAAATACATAGAAATGCACCATACATCAATGAATATGCTCACCATTTTAAATAAATATATATTACTTTTATGACCAAAAGAAAACAAATACGATTTTCTTTTGTGAAGTTAAACAGAGTCCATAACTAATTCTTACCAGATCCCAGTTCCCAGTGGTCCAGTGACAGCATGGGTGCCTGTTGCAGGGCACAGTTGATGGGGGCCTTTTTGTCCAGTCACAGAGGCCTCCTGGACAGGACACAACTCTCTCCTGAATTCCGCCTCCACAGGACCTGGAACACTGATACACAAAATAGGCATGAGTCAGTAAAATCAGTTGGTGACATTTTCAATGACAAGAACAGTTTTTACTGCTTTTTTTTCATTGTATATTATTAGAAAAATTAGTGTCTGCGTTGGAACTTGGAGCATCCTTGCAAGTTCCTTTCAATGATCACTCCAGTTACTTATTTTTATTTATTTATTTATTTTTTGGTACTGGGGATTGAACACAATGGCACTCAATCACTCAGCCATATCCCCAGCCCTTTTTATATTTTATTTAGAGACAGGGTCTCACTAAGTTTCTTAGGGCCTTGCTAAGTTATTGAGGCTGGCTTTGAACTCAAGATCCTCCTGCCTCAGCCTCCCGAGCAGCTGGGATTACAGGTGTGTGCCAACGTGCCCAGCTGATCACTCCAGTTACTTAAAGACAAAACTAAAGAGAAGGAGGGAGGCTGAAGGGAATCTTGAAGATAAGAGGAAGAGAAAAATCAGAAGATGCCAAGTAGTCTAATGTCAAGCAGTATGCCAAAAAGGAAGAATTTTGGTTAAAAACTTAAATGAGAGATCTTTCCAGAATGGACACTATGCTATCTGTATTTTTCCTTCTGGCCTAAGTGGCTAGAAACCAAAATGTGAAATTTAGATGTTTTTATGATAGTTTACTCTGGCAGCCCAAAAGGTGAGGATATAAAGCCCAAAAGGTGTATAATACAATTCCTCAGTTCACTCTTTGCTCAGTGCCCACTGCACAGGAATTGGGGTCTCCTTGATATTTGAATTACTACTTCCTATCAAAACTGATGCAGTCTTCCTTTTGCACTATATACAGCCTTAGAATTAAATGTCTCCCTATTAGGACTAGTGAAGTTCATGAATTTGTTCAGGATTCTGAAGGCTGGGCTGTAATGCTCACAAAATAAAATCAAGATGGTCAGTTGGATTTCTGAAGGGTTGTGCTTCTGAAACATGTCAGAGTTTTGTTCACTAAAATAATTTGGTAGGACATTTTGTTTATTTTTCATGACATTTCTAAGAGGAAATTAAATAATTCACTAAGAATCTTTGAAAAGTACTTTGAATCACTTAGCTATGGTATGGGTGTAACAATAACCGACAAAAACAAAACTATGGTTGTCTTGTCAACCTCATGCCCATCACAGCAGGTACTATGWGTATGATAATAACAGACAACAAGGAAATTATTTGCAATTAGCCTTCTGTACTCAATATATCGCTTTCACAAAATTCCAACTTCGAGAATCAACCTGGATTTTTCTCCTTTATCCAATCAGTTTTTAACCCTATCAGAGGAGTAAAGGAGAACAATCACACATCTGGGATCACATGTACCTACATATGTGCACATCACCTCAGAGACACCTAGCCAAGTAACCTCCAGAAAAATGGGGCAAAGAAAATGTGGATCAGTGATTCTCCGACCAGCAATTTCAGCATCTTCTGGGTACCTGTTACAAATGCAAACTCTCAGGTTCCATTGAGGTTCCCAAATTGTGCACTTGGGGATGGCACCCTTCCATCTGTGCACTGAAAAGCTTTCCTGGAGATGGTGAAGCATGCCAACATTTGGCTACACTGATGTAGAGATGTTCCCACAGCTAAAGTACATCAACCATGTAGGTAGTCTGCACTGGCTGACCTTTACCAAACAGGTCCTGAACAGTCCACTAGACAGTGCTGTGAGGCAGAACAGCAATTGTGAGGGTCCAGGAAAAGTTTCTAAAAATGCCGAGTCCTAGTACTCCTGGTTCTCAACTGACTTTTAAATTTCACAATCCTTTCTGTTCCTTCGGATAGCTCTTCCAACCTGTGGTTTGCTCAGAACAGAGAAATTTAGAAAGGAGGATGGTAGGAGCCTTCAGGGAACAGACTGATGGTTGCAGCTCCCAGAAGCTTCAAGGAAGAATAAAGAATAGATCTTTTCCATAACCAGAAAGATCTGGTTGCTCATCTTTGATAACCTGAACATGCCATTTCTCTGACCAGGAGATATAAGTTCCTCTGCAAATTCTAGGATCCAGAAGTTTCAACTGAACAGGTCTAGGCCAGCCTCAGCATATATGGAGAGCTTGGAGGTCTGGGTCCAGAGCAGGGGGGAAGCTGCACTCAGGTACTTCAGATTTTGGCAGGGAAGGGGGAAAAGAGGAAACAATGGTGACTACTGCCCCAGAAACACCAGGTAGTAGCCCAGATTCTCAAGAATCAGTAAGGGTGCTTGGCCTGATAGGCGCTAAGTAGCTCCTGGGCACTTACTCTTCCACAACCTTTGACAATAACTCTGTATCCTCAAGTTGTGCTTCTCTACCTCCCCTTTCCATGACATGTGGTAGGTTCCTCTGAAATAGATATAGAGTCCCATTTTCCTCAGTTCACTCTTTGCTCAGTGCCCACTGCACAGGAATTGGAGTCTCCCTGATATTTGAATTACTACTTCATTTATTTTCTAGTTGTATAACCTCAGGTAGATTCCTCAACCTCTCTGAGTCTTAATGTTTTTATCTATATATGGTCATCCAGGTCATTATGAGAATTAAACCAAATAATGTAGGTAATATACAAACCCCATGGACACACTCAATATATGCTCTGCTTTTGTAAAAAAATTTCTTATCTTCTTATCATGTGTGGGTGTAATTGAGTGTATTTTTAAACTATTGGAAAATGAGATCATCATACTTCACCAAAGAATAATAGCCTTGTTCTCACATGCCAAAGTAAAAACCAAGACACAGCAGAGCAAGAGCCCTCATTTAGAAAAAGGATACATGCACTTTTTTTTTTATTTTTGCAAATAATGATCTGGGCATTTCACTAAGAGATGAAACTAAAATTATACTTTGGAAAAGATCTGATCATTACTCCCAGCCTGTCTGCAAAGCCTCAGACAGGTATGGGAGGCTCTGTCCTAAATGGCTGTCATCAAAGTGGTCTTTGTTCAAATCGTTCCATTTTGTTAATTCCTAGCAGAGACCCCAGTTACCCAATACATCCACTGAAAGATCAGGTTGTAATAAAATACTGCACTGTTATGGTTGGAACCACACCGTATCATCTCCTCAAAGGAACTCTTTCAGCTCCTGAAAGTGTCTGACCTGCCCGGTTTCCCCCATACAGTGTGGGGTCCCTGAATGGAGGCCAGTCATGGGCATGATGCAGGTGTGGTCTTTCCCCTCCTCTAGACTCACATGGTAGCMGAGATTCATGGTCTGCCAGCTTGCACGATGTATGTCCTTATCTGGGGGTAGGGGTCATACCTGACTCCAGGGTTCCACATGCCACTCCTCACAGGGCTCCAGATTACAGCTCATGCTCTGAGGGGGAGGAATGCCGGCCAGGAACTGGCAGTGAAAGGGTCTCAGGCTCCGGTGATGGTCCCAGCTGTCCACGCACTGAATCTCCCTGATCTTGAAGCCGCCACTGCAGTTTCGGGAACACTGTGGGGAGAGCAAAAAGCACAAATAAGACCACAGTCCTTGGCAACAGGCCTCCATTTCCCTCCATCATGCAGGTTCCAGGCTTCCRATTGTGCAGAGTGCTTAGAACTCTGAACCCTGTTTTCCTTCACATGCCATGTAGAGGGCATCACAGGAGCAGCTCCCGTAGTCAGGGTTCCCAGAGTCAGAAAACACATGCACAGAAGTCTGAGGGTTTAGACGTCTGGCAGGAGTGGGTGAGAATTTCAGTTTTGTGGCTCACTAATTGTGAGCCTTTGGATAAGTCACGGAAATGCTGTGACTCACAGAAATGGAGTGACTCTGCAAACTGGGATTAACACCTAACTGTTACCTCACAGGCTGTTGCAAGATTATGGATATTGGAGTCGGGAGTGCCTGCTGGCATAGTGTGTCTCAGGGGGTTGTCACTCCCACTGGACATCTATATTCATTCCAGGTAAAGGAGTCAGCCACCTAAGCTTTCTGTGGGGGTCGGGGGGWGGGGTGGGGAGATGAAACTCTCCTTTTGGCTATGGTGGTGGAATAGTCATGATTGTAGGATTGTGGTTGGGGAAAGAAAATTCCTCAAGACCTTTCAGGAGAGTAGATTCCCCAATATGACTTCCCCTTCCTCTACTCCCAAAGAGACTGTACCGTGTCACCTGACCTAAAATCTTGGTCTGTAACATGGGAAGACATGGCCCATGGGACACAAGGGCACATGCAGGCTCTAATGCTTTCATCAATCAAGTGTTTTTACCTTCTTGGAAATATCAACACTTGCCAGATAGTCCCCTAAATACACAAATTAAGAAGTTCATTCTCCTGCCATGCAATAAGCACAAAGAGAATAAAAGYAGCTTCCAATTTAAAATTAGCTGTAAAACAAAAGAGAAAGCATGCTAATAATACCCACCAAAGCAGTCATTTGTCTGACAAAATAGATTCTGGAAAATAGCACATGGTTAAAACAAGAAGCCTCTTTATTAGGAAAAGGGAATTTTACAAGACATTAAGTGTAAAATGGGGTTTGTTTTCTTATTTGTTGCTACAATCTGTTATTCCTAAATTTAATYTTCAAATTAACGTTCTTCTTTTGCCAAAAGCATATTCACACGTAATGGAAAATGAAATACACTAATATGTTGAAGTCAGGATTGGAAGAAACTCACTAAATTGATGACTTCCCTATTCTATTTTCAAAAGAGCCTCTGATTCAGTTAGCAAGAGGGAAATGGTAGCATATTGAATTACTCCACTTCTAATGTTTTTTTTTTTGCTCTTTTGTGTTGAATACCAATTGTTATATTCATTTTCTTACTATTCTAGAAGGTCATTGTATTCCTGGTTTCCTAACTAGGACCAGACTGAGCAACCTGAATAATGGGAACAGAAAGATCGGCTTAATACCCTGTTGCAGTAAAAAAAAAAAACTGATAGGTTTTCAGTTACCACATCAGTTTTTTAAACTGATATGATTTCTTTGTTTTTGCAAAATACCTAATCTATATTTACATCCACCTATAACTTCAAGCTAAAATATATCATAAATAAAACAAGTATTGACAATTAAAATAAATCAAATGTAATGAAATAAATACATAAACAAAGATTTAATGAATCAGACCTCTATTATATACACTGTTGTTTCAAAAGAAAAAACACATACAAAAACAGTTTATTAGCAGCTCATGGGCTTAGTAATCACAAAATGTTTTATTAAGTAACTGATATGACTTCTAAACCAGATCGACTTAGATTGATAAATACCCTTAGCTTACAGGAGTCACTGACAGAAATAAATCCCAAATGTTACTTTCTTGTAATATGTTTTATTTATGAAGTCATTCTGATACTCTTTCTACATTGGATCCAKATAGTGTTCAGATAGGTACCGCAAAGTTAATGAACAGAGGATCAGAAGGTCAACAGATGCCATTCATTTATGGGACCCAAGTGGCAACATGACTGTGGATTAATCACTTCCATTTTTCCACTGGTGTTAAAGGGAGGATGAATTGGTTCCTAAACTATCCCAACCTTCTTGAATGTCATAAGTACACGGGATCAATGGATTTGAATTCTGTTGTAAATTAAGTTACATGCCAAATACTAGGCCAGGATAAAGAAAAAAAAAATTCTCTACGCATTTACTTATGCTACACACATTCATAATATCATTAAAATCAAAGATGCATTCCAAACATTCTAAGTTGAACAKCACCAAATTTAACCACCTTCTCTCCCTCCCTCCCAATTACTGATCACTTACWATGTTCCAAGTTGTGTATCTCTACTTAAGTGGTTTACAATAGAGGGTGGGAGGAGTGACATACATAAGTAGAAGTGATGAAGRTTATATCCTACCATGATTAAGTACCCTTGGGGTCAATCTCCAGTCCCCCCAAGTTGTTCCCAGTCTATCCTACAAGTTGTTMATGATCCTGTGAGGATACATAGTAGGAGGTGCTCAATTTCACCTGACAAAGCCAAGAAAGGGAGTTGGGGCTCAAGCTGAACCTTACAGGATAAGTATATGATAACTGGGCACAGTGCTTTGAAACAACACAGTCTGTCTGGGCACAGCAAGTGGGTCAAATGTGAGCACAGAGGGTAGGGAAGGGCAAAGACGGAGGGATAGAGGCCACCATGAGGGCTTTGTGATTTGGACCTCAGTGGTTTGGGGGTCATGCTTCCTGTGATTCTGAAAGCTTCCATTTAATTGCCAATCCTCTAACCATTTCTCCTCAGGGATCCCTTAATCTAAAGTGCTTAGAGGTGTCAAGAGGGTGTGATGGTTTAAACACACAACAACTTATATCAAGAGGAGAGCAAATGCCATGATTTTATCATTCACCTTCCTTCTACTCAGTTTTTGACTTCTGGGGACAGAAGCTCCACTATCCCATGCAATTCTATGTTTTGACCATATTAATATAGTTTCTAGGAACATGCTATGAATAAAAYGAGGGGCATCTCTCTATTTAGGAAGACAAAGCCTATCTCCCCATTTTTAATTTGGAAAAATTCAGATTTATTAATGTAGCACCACCACAGATMATCTGCAAATCAAAGAAACTTGGAGACAAGGATTAGAATAAGTCAGACAAATATACAATACTTTAGGCTATAATCAAAGATTGTTACTTCTAAAGGTAATAAAATCAAACATTAGGAAAATAAAATTGCAATTTGCCTCTTGTCCTTCCTGGGGGAAGGCAGATCATTCCAAGAAAAATGAAAAACTCTTCCTGATTCATTTCAGAAATGACCAAGATCTGTTAGACTTGAATATGCAAAGGGCAGTGCTCATTCTAAGAAAGATAATAAGGGGGCTGTCAAATCAGCAGTTTGCAGGACTTTGGAAAAAAACACCCAAAATGTTCTATCAGGAAGTGGGTAGAACTGGGGATGACACACACTTTTAATGTCAAATCCAAATTAGGATTATTCAAACTTATCTTTGTCACTTACTACATTTTTCCCATCACAAGAATCATACCCCCCCATACAAATCTTCTTGTTCTGAAATTGGCATGTGCCATGCAACTGATGTACATGTTTATTATGCCATATTTCCTTCTAACAAGCTGTAACTAAAGTTGACCATATACCTCCTACCCAATGGTTTCAATAGAATTGAGATTATGCAGCATAAACTTCATAATCAAGTATATGTTAGTGATTTAAACACCCTGAGCTTTAGTTTCCTYAGGGTGAATTATAAAGCCCTATATTGGGGGTCATAATGAAACTGTGTATCTAATGCTTCTGTGCAATGCTAGGCAYATGGCACATGCTAGGCACATGAGGAGTGCTGGTATCCACAGGTAGGTAAAGTCCTCTAAAGTTCATGGACACTTTGAACACCTTGTCTRCTTAGTACTGAGGAGCAAACCCTTCCCTGGCCAATGTTCCATTGATAGGACTTACTGTCACTATCACCTGTCTACCAGTCTCCTGTCCCTTCCACTCCTGTCCAAGTAGCCAGAGGTCAGGAAATGCSTAATAGTCAGCTCTAACCTTCAGCTACAGCTCACACACTTGTTCAAGGTTTGCTGGAACCTCTTTTACCAYGAACAAAGTTGTTCTATAACTTTCTTTGCTGGTAGGAATGCAGTGACTTTGAGGATTATATTTTAGATATGGAGGTTACCAAACCCAGCAGAATTTGATGATATGGCAAAGAGAACACCTATAAAACCACTTGGAATGTTACAGTTAATCAATATATCTGCAACTGAATAGGCAGAGAGAGGCAGAGGGAGAGGAAAACAAGGGAGGTGCCAGCCAGCAGAACTTTCCTGAGGTGGCCTGACCCCAAAGATAAACTCCCCAATCTCTTGTTTAGGGTTTTACACCAGCTAGAATTCCTTAGGCTGACGTTGATCTTTTCAAAGTGTAAAGTATTTCATGCATCTACTCTTTCTATGGCCCATGTAATTTCTTTTATTTACTTTAAAAAATTTGTTCTAATAAGTAAGTTATATATAATAGTAGAATGTATTTTGACATAGCATACATATGTAGAGTCTAACTTCTCACTATTCTGGTTGTACATGATGTAGAATCATGTTGGTTATATAATCATATATGTACATAGGATATTAATATCTGATCATTCTACATACTTTCTTATTTCCATTCCTCATCCCTTCCTTTCATTCCCCTTTTCTACTCCAAAGTATTTCTATTCTTTCCTACCTTCCCTCCCACTTACTGTGAAGTCAGAATCCACATATAAGAGAGAACATTTAGCCTTTGGTTTTTATGGATTGGCTTATTTCACTTAGCATAAGATTCTCCAGTTCCATCTATTTACTGGCAAATGCCATAATTTTGTTCTTTCTTATGGCTAAGTAATAGTCCATGTGTATATATACCACATTTTCCTTTTCCACTCATCTTTTGAAGGGCACCTAGTTTGGACCCATAGTTTAGCTTTTGTGAGTTGTGCTGCTATAAACATTGATATGGCTGTATCACTGTAGTATGCTGATTTTTAAGTCATCTGRGTATAAACTGAGGAGTGGGGTAGCTGGGTCAAATGGTGGCTCCATTCCAAGTTTTCTGAGGAATCTCCGTACTGCTTTCCATAGAGGTTGCACAAATTTGCAGTCCTACCAGCAATGTATGAGTGYACCTTTTCCCCCACGTCCTTGCCAACATTTATTGTTGCTTATATTCTTGATGATGGCCATTCTGATAGAAGTGAGATGAAATATTTACTCTGTTTTAACTTGCATTTCTCTAATTGTTAGAGGTGTTGAACATTTTTCCACATATTTGTTGACTGAGAGCATTTCTTCTTCTGCGAACAGACTGTTCCAGATCCTTAGCTAATTTATTGGTTGGGTTGCTTGTTTTTTGTGGTGTTAAGTGTTTTGAGTTCTTTATATATCCTGGGGATTAATGCTCTATCTGAGGTGCAAGTGGCAAAAATTTTTGCCCATTCTGTAGGTTCTCTCTTAACACTCTTGATTGTTTTATTTGCTGTAAATAAGCATTTTAGTTTGAATCCAACCCATTTATTGATTCTTGATTTAACTTCTTGTACTTTAGGAGTCTTGTTAAGGAAGGCAGTTCTTAAGCAGACATGATGTAAAGTTGGGTCTACTTTTTCTTCTCTTCAGGCACAGGGTCTCTGGTCTAATGCCTATGTACTTGATCCACTTTGAGTTTTGTGCATGGTGAGAGAATGGAATTTAATTTAATTTTGATATACATGGATTTCCAGTTTTCCCAGCCTCATTTGTTGAAGAGGCTATTTTTTCTCCAATGTATCATTTTTGGCATCTTTGTTTAATGTGAGATAACCGTATTTATGTGGGTTTGTCTCTGTGTCTTCTATATTATACCATTGGTCTACATGTCTGTTTTGGTGCCAACACTATGCTGTTTCTGTTACTACAGCTCTGTAGTATAATTTAAAGTCTGATATTGTGATGCCTCCTGCTGTACTTTTGTTGTTAAGGATTGCTTTGGCTACTCTGAGACCCTTATTTTTCCAAATGAATTTCATGATTGCCTTTTCTATTTCTATGAAGAATGTCATTGGGATTTTAATAAGAATTGCATTAACTCTGTATAGCACTTTTGGTAGTATGGGCCATTTTGACAATATTAATTCTGCCTATCCAAGAGCATGAAAGATGTTTCCATATTCTAAGGTCTTCTTCAATTTCTTTTTTTTTCAGTATTCTGTAGTTTTCACCATAGAGGTCTTTCACCTCTTTTGYTAGATTGATTCCCAAATATTTTATTTTTTGAGGCTATTGTGAATGGGGTAGTTTTTAAAATTTCTCTTTCTGTAGATTCATCACCATGTATAGGAATGTGCTTGATTTGTAGGTGTTAATTTTATATCCTGCTATTTTTCTGAATTCTTTTATGAGTTCTGGAAATTTCCTGGCAGACTTTTTTTTGGTCTTCTAAATGTAGAGTCATATCATCTGCAAATAGGGATAGTTTGAGTTCTTCTTTTMCTACTCATATCCCTTTAATTTCTTTTTTCTAATTGCTCTGGATAGAGTTTCAAGGACAATGTTGAATAAAAATGGTGACAGAGGGCATCCTGGCCTTGTTCCAATTTTTAGTGGGAATGCTTTCAATTTTTCTCCATTTAGAATGATGTTTGGCCCATGCAATTTCTAAGGAAATGATTATCCCAGTGAAGCGAGAGTGGAACTTAGGAATTGACCAACATTTTGCAAGGTCAGGGATATAAAACATTTCTTGAGAATTTTCTGGATATGGAAGAGAATCTGTAGGCAAGCATCCAGTCCTTGCTGGATCCTGAGTTTGTTATGATTGGGATGAKAAAGGGAAAAGAACCTGCATATTAGTTGTAGATGGACCAATACCTATATTTTATCATTCTTGAGAGAAAAATGGCAAAGAAAGAGGAACAGGGAGGTTGACAGGTATCAAAGGAGCAGGCCACTCTCTCTCTCTTCCCCCAAATCAAGACTTTACTGTGCAGGAAGAGTCCTAAAGCAGACCAGTGACATCCCATGTCCCAGGTGAACCAGAGATGTCTGATGAGACACCTCATGGTCCTGTTTGGAGACACAAATAGTCCATTAGATGAAGACATTAACAGAAGATCACTAGCATCCCCAATCTCCCTGGGTAATTTTTCTTCTTCTCTTTTCCTATGTCTCAGATGTCAAGGAGGATTGTTTCCTTRAAGAGTAGACAGGGACCTACAGGGAATCCTATATGGAGGGCATATGCACTGCTCACATTTCTACTCTTCCTGCCTGGCCAGTGTCTGGTAGCCCCAGTGTATCTCTGGGGCCGGCTCAGCTCCAATCCTGAGTGACAGGCAGGTTGRAATTGGTTAGTGCCCCAAATCATCAAGGCTAGATAGTTGGAAAATTGACACATCCTTTTCACAAGAGACCGTGAAAACAGCTAAGTGAATTGAATAATCAAAGTCATTAGCAAAGATGGAAAAAAAGCACACTTCAATACTTTTTAAAAAATATTTGTCATATATATATATGAATAAATATATTAGTTGTACATGGATGGATACCTATATTTTATTTATTTATTTTTATGGGGTGCTGAGGATTGAACCTAGTGCTTCACACAGGCTAGGCAAGTACTTTACCACTGAGCTACAACTCCAGCCCCTTGTGAATATACTTTTAAAGACCAAATTATTCTTTATGGCTTGGCTTTTTTTTTTTTTTTCATTTTTAAGTCTGGCAGATTAAACCTGTAGGGTTGTTTTGTGAAGAGGTGCTGAGCCACAGTTTAATTATATATATGATAATATATAATTATTCTTTATACTTTCTAAATTGAAGTAATTTAGCAGTATAATGAAATAGTGCTACGTGCTGGAMAAAGCAATTAATTATACAAATTTAACTTTTAATTCTAGTTTGTTTTGTAAGAGAAAGGACATGCAGGCAAAAACAGGCGAGTTAATAAAAACTGTGTAGTTCTAAGACTTTTGGGTAACTTGAATCAGGCCCATGGTAATCCTATGATTTCATAAAAGAAAAGAGGCAGAGAAGAATGAAAAATGTCGAAAGGGAGGAGAGAAACCAWCTTTAGCAAATACTTACAGAAGATTCCTCCATCCACCCCCCGACACAGCCTGGTAGATTACCTTGCTCCAGTTTCCCACTTTCCATCCGGCACATGGGCGAAGGTGGCATTTCTTCGCAGGGTCAGGCCTCTGGATGGCCGCACAGTCAGCGTCTATCTGGGTGCTGCACTCCACACTTCTCCAGTAAGCCCCTAGCCCACAGGTGGTGGAACACTGCAGCAGGGATGGGAAAAGAGAAGACAGGCTGAGGATGGCTTCCTCAGACACACCCAAGACTGGGACCCTGCAGGGAGGGATTCCCTGTTCTAGAGGCTAAGATTGCCCACAGAACGATGCCAATAATGGGCCTCCACACACATGAACCCATCTGAATTTCGGGTCTGAAGCCTTGGGATCAATATTAAAAAAAAAATTTCCCCCAAACTCAAAGTGGATCAAGGACCTAGGAATTAGACCCAATGCCTAATAGAGGAAAAAGTAGGCCCAAATCTTAATCATGWTGTATTAGGCCCCAACTTCCTTAACAAGACTCCTAAAGCACAAGAAATAAAATCAAGAATTTATAAATGGGATGGATTTAAACTAAAAAGCTTCTTCTCAGCAAAAGAAACAATCAATGAGGTGAAGAGAGAACCATATTTTGGGAGCGAATCTTTACCACATGTACCTCAGATAGAGCATTAATCTCCAGGATATAGAAAGAACTCAAAAAACTTAACACTAAAAAAAAAAAAAACAAAAAACAAGAATCTAATCAATAAATGGGTTAACGGAGCTGAACAGACACTTCTCAGAAGAAAATATACATTCGATCAACAAATATAATGAAAAATGTTCAACACCTCTAGTTATTAGAGAAATTCAAATCAAAACTACTCTAATATTTTACCTCACTCCAGTCAGAATGGCAGTCATCAAGAGTACAGACAACAATAAGTGCTGGTGAGGATGTGGGGGAAAAGGCACACATGTCTGGTGGGATTGCAAAATGGAAATTACTTCCTTGTTTAGGAATAACAAAAGCTTGATCCTGAAGAACAGCTAGGATATGAAGAGGCAGAGGAGGAGGGGGCAGAAATTCCAGTGAGGAAACAGCATGCATAAAAGCACTGTACTGGACAGACAGCAGTTTAAAGGAAACTGAGCAGTCTAGATGTGTTGAAGACAGGGAGGAGGCTGTAAGGGGAAAGCTGGATCATGTGAGGCTATGAAGGGTGCTGATGCTAGGCGAGCACGAATTTTATTTGATTTGGTATGTAATAAGGAAACATCAGAGATTTTGTGAGCAGAAGTTCAGAACCATTTGAACAGTCCTTTTAGATTGGCAGTCTTATATCTCTTGCAATAGGGTGTATGGATAAGACTGGAGAAGGGAGAGTATGGCGGTGCCCAGACCAGCAAGGGTGCAAGGGTCGGTGTCCTAGGCAAAAGTAGGAAATGAGGGTCCTGCATTCTCAAGTATTGGGGCACCACTGGCATTTTAGACTGGATAATTCTTCTTTATAAGGAACTTCCCTGAACATTCTGGGACTTTTCTCATTCTTGACTTTCCAATATTGGAGGCTGGCTGCAGCCTTTCCTTATCATCCTAACCGCATCCCCACTCATATCCATATCCTCCTAACACCCAACTGGAAACCACTGGACCTTCTCCTGACAGAGGCACTAAAGGAGATGACAAATGATGAAGTGACACTGACTTGAAAGACTGTTTGTTTYTGTTGTTGTTGTTTTTAAGCAGGACAGGCAGATTGACACCCAGRGTGATTTTGGCGTTTCTAAAATGTGGTGATTGAAAGAAAGTGATCTGTTATAGAGAGAGACAAAACCCAAAGACACACCTTCAGCAATGAGCAGAAACAAAAATCAGGCACAGCAAGAAACTCAAAACCCAGAGCTGCCAATCTGAGTTCTGACCCTCTCTCTACCCACAAAACAGCTGATCTCAAAACGTGCACGAAGGGAGCAGGCACCAAACGCTGTCACAAGGGAGATTCCCACAAATGTAGAACTTCAATTTCATAATATCCTAATAACTCTGAAAAATTTTACAATAGGCCAATTCCATTTCCCAACCAAACTGCTCAGAGTTATGGCTCCACCGTTATGGCCAACTTTTTGGTGAACTGTGATATTATTATTCAGTAAGACAGTTTACTGCTGTCAAAAATCAAATGATGATATTCAAGACAAAATTATTTCTTTGTATTTTGATTTATTAAAATAAAAATGGACTGGCCTCTGGGCACATAGTCATCATGGTTGATGTCATCATGGTAGCTCAGTTTATATGGATATAGTAATATATTATTAAATCCATTAGTATTTATCAACTAATTAACATATATTAAATAGTATCAGGGTAAAATCCTTATGATACATTTCARTGAAATAACTCTACAAGTGCTCTGGGATTTGAGGATAAATGAAAAGATAAGAGGATGGGAAAGAAATAAAATTTCTGGGTCTTCCCATAGCTGCCTTTCAGTAAAACCATTGTATTAACTTATGGACTGAGAAGAACTTGTCCAACCTTATAGTCCTAATGGAGAGAAGACCCCCTGAGGAATAACCCAATTACTGATTTGTCTCTTTGTCTAGATTCTGGAGAAACATATTTATACGCTATTCATCCTGTAGGCTCTCTCTTCATTGTGTTGTTTCCTTTGCTGTGCAGGAGTTTTTACATTTGTGCCATCCTATTTATAAATCCTTGCTGTGATTTCCTGATGATTGGAGTCCTACTTAGGAAGTTGTTGCCTGTGCTTATCTATTTTTTTCATTATTTCTTTCCTTCTACTGTTTGATCTTGTTTTTCTAAGAGCTTGAGAKTCAACATTATGGAATAATAAAGGAAAGAAAGAATAAAAGATCAGAGCTGAAATTAATGAAATAGAGACTAAAAGATCCTTCTATACCCAGTTTCTTCAGGGTTTTTACCCAGAAGGGATGTTAAAAACTTTATGCATCTGTTGAGAAGATCATGTGTTTTTAATCCTTGATTCTGTTTATGTGATGAATTATGTTTATTGGTTTATATATGTAGAACCATCCTTGTATTCTGGGATGAAACCATCTTCATTATTGTATATGATCAGGGAACTGTGCGTTTTGCATCCTGCAGATGACCTCTACAACTCCACTGACCAAAGAGAAGAAAGGGGAGTAATGATATAGAATAGGGTAAAAAATTGGGTATTAATGATAGTATACATGATGCTAAAATATATTGAAAGAATAAAAAGGGGGAGGAACAACAGAAGAGATAAAGAGAGAAAGAAGAAAACAGAAAGGAGGGAAAGGAATAAAAATGAAAAAGAAGAGATAACAAGAAAAAATCCAATTAATTTAGAAGACCCATAAAGTTTGACAGAAATATGAGAAAAATGAGAGAAAACAAAATAAAGCAACACACAACAACAACAAYAACAACAACAACAAAGAAATAAAGAAAAAGCACAAAACAAACAAAAAGTGATTTAATATTTCTTCTTGTTAAATTAGTTAAAATGAGGACACTTTGTTCTGGGGTTTCTAATTGTAGAACTCACCAGCTATGGAAAGGTTTGTGGGACAGAGCTACAATTTGTTCCCTCTTAACTCCAACCCAAACGGGCCAAATGTGTTGGAGCCTGCAAACTGGGCTCTACCCCTCCTGGCCCACCAGCCAGTGCTGAGGGAAGGTTGTCCACTGAAGAGCTAAATCCACCCTCCAAKACTCTATTTTTTGTACCTGGTGTCAGGTTACTTTAACAAGTTCATATGCTGTACATTCAAAATTCAAATAAGTGAAAAGTGGTTTTCATGCTTCAAAGGATGTCCTTAGTTCTAGAAATGGAAAAACAAATATCTAGCCAAATTTCTGCAGCCTGAAAATAGGGGTCAACATTTTATCATCATGTTTATTTTCTTCTTTTCCTATATTTTAACTCTTCCAACAAGCCAAAGTGAAATGTTTTAATATAAACATTCAGACAAAAAAARRAAAAAAAATCATTTATATAGTAAGTTCTGTAAAATTCTATCAGAGTTTGGTCTTAGAGTTCCATTCTAGATGTGGTTACTTCACAGGTTTAAACCAAGCCTCAGTATTAGCTTTGTGATTGAAGGGCAAAGTTAGGCCCTTTCAGTTGTTCTTCACCCCAGRATCATTGTACATTATAGCTGGAGGAGACATTGGAGGTGATTACACTAGCCCTATCATTCTGTAGATAAAAATCAGGGATATGGGGCTGGGGTTGTGGCTCAGAGGTAGAGCGCTTGCCTAGCAAGTACAAGGCCCTGGGTTCAATCCTTAGGACTACATATAAATAAATGAATAAAATAAAGGTGTTGTGTCCAACTACAACTAAAAAGTAAATATTAAAAAAAATCAGGCATAGAAAGATGAATTTTCCATGATCTTACTACTGCCTGACACAGATCCCCTGACTCAGTCCAGAGTTCTTTTCACTGTATCTCACCACATGTTTCTCTCTCTCTCTCTCTCTCTCTCTCTCTCTCTCTGTATTCTGTCTTCCATTTGAGGAGTTGGCATTGACTTGACAGCTTTCAATTTTTTCCACGTTATACTACATTTTAATGCAAGTTCATTTTAAAATCTGCACAAGAATGTGACATTGCTAGCTATTTTCCATGTGTAATCAGATTAGGGATAGGAAACATCATCTCTTACCTCACTCCAGTTTCCAACAACCCAGTATGCAGGAGTGTGGTCCTTCATGAGCTGCTTATAACTGGAGGCATTCAGCAAAAACCCCTCAGCAATCAGGCTGGACGCGTCTTCCTCCGTCAGGACTGGTTCAGAATCTTGSGTGACATTTGCGTTGCTTGGAAGTTCCAGGTGGTGATTTTTTACAGACTTTTCTGAGAGTATTGGCTGCTGGTCACCTCCTTGAGGGAGTGGAGTGTTACTTGATTTTTCGGTGATCATCCCTTCTGCTCTGAGTGTCCCGTTTTTCAGGATACTGGGTCTTTGGCTAGGTAGTGGTCCTTCAATTACTGTGCTAGAGGGAGGCTGTAAGGACTCCTCCCCCAGGTGAGGTGTGGGTGGAGGTCCAAGTGGCATCTCTGTGCTTTTCTCCATGGGATCATCATTTCTAGGCCCACCGACCTTGCTCCACTTAACAGTATTACTTTCATCTTTGTTCTTGGGCTGTTCACTGTCATCCCCCGAGCCACTGTGGATCTCCGGTTCTGGATCTTTGGTCAAGGTACTGTAGAATGGAGTTACTTGCCAAGTTACAGCATTGCCAGAAGATAAGTCAGAACTACTTGTTGTAGCTACAAAGCCTCCCTCTGCAGTAGGACCAGTATCTGAACTAGAAGCATTTTCAACATGGGGCTGGACACTCAAAGACCAGGAAGGGAGGATGGGCTGGGAAGTGCTTCCAGTGGAAATGAGATCGTGGGAGTCCAGGTCGGTTTGGGTTGAACTATTTGGCCACTGTTTCTCATCCAGGTCTCCCTCTTTGGAGGCTGTGGCAGGAGTAGTGCTATCAATTGCTGGAGTACTGGTGCTCATAGAGTCAGGCACAGTGGGTGTGGCAAGCAGTGTCAGCGTGGGTGTGGGTGGAGGGATGGGCTTTAAGGGGTCTTGCTCAGAGGTTGGTAGATCTTTCCCATTGGAAATGGTGCCTTGGTTGGGTTTCAGAACTCTCCGGCTAGACGGACACTGCTGGAGGCCACACAGGGCTCGGCTGTTGGGTTTCCTCGTCTTGTCGCAAGGTTCATCCAGGTTCTTGGCACACGTGACACTGCGAATCCGCACTCCTCCACCACAGGAAACAGAACACTGGAAAAGAGATACAGCTGTTAGATGTTTTCATTCTCGTGGGCAGGTCTACAGCAGATGAGGACAGGCCCAGYGGTGGGTGGCTGAACTGTGCAGTTAATGTTGTCTTCAATCTCTGCATTTGGTTTCTGTGCTCTTTCAGTTTCCCATGGAAATATCCACTTCCTGAAGACCAGCTGGGGCTCAGGATCTACTATTTACTTACTCTTCACAAACTGAGAACCTAAACCATGACCTAGTCAAACTGAAATCTCTTTGAACAGTGAGTAGTGGGATCTACCAGGAATGCAATGATTTAAAGCTACCTAATTTCTTTAAGAGTGAGTTAGTAATATTATCTCTTTCCTAGGGTTGCAATGCTATTAAATTAATATGACATGGTTACATAGTCTTAGGCATCTATTGTTAGTTATATTGAAACTTTTGCTTTATCTTAGAAAATAGCTATTATCATTCAGCAGTTTCTCCCAAGTATCATAATCATTTGGCTGTGGCAGGTAGAATTAAAAGCTACACAATCCCCACACTCACACACGTTCATGAATCTAAGTCCATTTGTGGAATTTAAAGACKAGTAGTTAATCAAAGGCAGGATATATCCATTCCCGAAGAGTTGGGTCGATCCCTTAGTGTGCTGCTAATGTACACACTGGGGTGGAGGCATATTACTTCCCCAGTGTTTCCCCCAGCTTCTGTAGGGCATGCCAAACACAAGTAGCTAGATGATTGTTTTTTGGGGAATCCTGACAAGACATTCCTTCCTCAGAATACAGGATAAAAAACAAATGTTTACTTTATCAATCTCAGCAGCCATAAGTTGTATATAGTTACTACATAACACCAACATTTAGGTATCCATACTCTGCCTGACCACTCCATTTCCTTTTCAGTGGCATTTTAAGACAACCACCAAAAAGTTGGCATTTAAGCATGGACCACTTTCAGGCCTTTGCTGACCATTTTACATTTGCCTTGTATCCCTGACCTCAAAAAGGTTTATTAAGGATGGGACTGCATAACACTCAAAGGATTTCAAAGGACTACATAGCTATTATTCTATGAGGTACTTGTGATATTCCTGTGAGGTTTACAAGAGAAGAATGATGATTCCAGGTCCCACAAGAGAAAAGTCCAGCAACTTGCTTTGAAAGGTTGCAAGTCAGTCTCAGAGTAAGTAAAAATCAGGTTCATCCTACATCCTCTCTTTCCTGCCAAAACCTAGTGAGACACTCTGAACAAGYAGCTATCCGTGGAGTTAGCTCATTGACTTGACCAAACTTCTGACTTCTGGAAAGTAACTCAAAGRCAGGAACTATTTCTTATTCATAACTGCATTCCAGGATAGTTCTTAAGACACCTGATTACTTTGTATATATTTATTAAGTGATCATTTGGCCTTGGGGGAAAACAATAACAGGAATGGGAAAATTCTTACTCATGAGCTTATGCATTATTTTTAGCTTAAGTTCCTTGCCTTCTAAAGTTCTATTTTCAATTTCCTCTATATAGGAAAATTATATCAATGTAGGAAGCTCCATCTTTATTTTGTTTTAATGGAGCATAATCACTCACTGATATATAACAATTCTTGTGAAATCAACGCCTTTGAAAAGCAGGAGATGGCTCTGAGCACAGAATGGACAGCTGAGGGAGAGGCCAACTGCAGATCAGGGCTCAACCAGCAAAGCAGTGACTTGAAAATACCAACAAACCTGCAGACACCCTGCTCTAAGACTGCCTTCTCAGGACTCTTTGGTGGGAACTGTGCTTTATGAGCAGGAGTGCATACTGATTTTTTTTTTTTTAGGACCAAAGTTGAGGTTACCAAACAAAGACCTGGGAGCCCACCAGTGAGGATATTTATCTTCCAGCACTTTCCATGATTTACTTGGAGCTGGAAAGTGAGGCTGGAAATGTTTATTTTCCAGTTTTGCCACAATTTTTCCACTCTTGTGTTTCAAGTTCTTTATGCTCYGTCCAGTTTAATCACCGCAAGTCTTTCTCCTCTTATTATATTCTAATCAGAACCCCTTGGATTTTCAAATTTCCACTCTATAAAAATTTACCAGTCCAACCAAAAATCTTCAGTGTCTGTCTGAACACATTTCCATGCTAGTTGCCTCAGGCAGCTTGGTTTGGAGACAGCTTTCTCATGAATGGGAACCTGGTTAATGTCACTTGTCCTTAAGCACCTGGCGACCCCTCTTACAGTTTTTCTTTCCAAGAAGTTATTTGAGTAGATAGCAACATAATAGGAAACTCTTTTGATTTCTCTTTTCTTTCTCTTCTTTTGCTCCCTTTGTTCAACCCCCATCCCCCCTTTTTTTTCCTTTGTGGAATGAATTGTTTTAATTTGAAATATTTAAATGACCCTCTAGGGATGTGAGAATTTAGTATACTCTTCACAAGCATTTAGAAAAATATGTTTCCTCTGTTCTTACCTTGAACTATAGGGGAAAAAAAAAGAACTGGAAAACTAGTGAAAAATAGCTTAAATTCCCTAATGCTTGTTATGGTTTAGATATGTGGTGTCTCCCAAAAAAGCTCTTATGTGAGACAATGTAAGAATATTCACAGACAAAATGATTATAAGAGCTTTAACTTAAAAATTAATGGATTAATCCACTATTATAGATTAGGTGGGTGGAAGGCAGGGTGAGGWTAGAGGAAGCAGTTCACTGGGGGTGTGCCCTTGGGGTTTATATTTTGTCCCTGGTGAGTGGAGAGCTCTCTGTTTCCTTGTTGCTGTGACTTGAGCTGTTTTATTCCACCATTCCCTTCCACTATGATGTTCTGCCTCCTTGGGCTCAGAGCTATGCAATCAGCCATCTGTGGACTGAGACCTCTGAAACAGAGCTAAAGTACACTTTTCTTCCTTTACTTTGCTTTTGTTGGACTTTAGGTCACAGCAAAGCAAGGGTGAACTAAAACAAAGTCTCAGTATCTTCATCTGGAAATTGAGAGAAATTAGTGCCCACCTTTCAAGGCTGCTGAAAGGATGGTCTGAAAACTGTACATGATTTCTACAAGATGATTGGTAACTGGAAACTATTATTGTAGCTGCTATARTAATGATGCTGATAACAACAGGGATGCTAATAGCAAAGAGGTTGAAGGTTCTCAATCTCTATTGTTCTTTTAGAACATGGCACACAGAACTTCCTGTTGGGTGGTGAAGTAAGGTCAGGCACATGTGTATAGACACTGTGGAGACCCATGTTCCCCTCTGGCTTATTGCTGGATTTATTTATTTATTTTTGATTCATATTTCTCAGGCTAACTGATGGGCATGTGGTCTTTTAACCTGCAGATTTCAAGAGCTAAACAATATTATTAAGTGTGTGACTCTGTTGAACCCCAAAGAACAAAGCAGAAATTACTAATAGCTATCTAGCTGGCTGTTCAGTTGAAATGCATTAAATTTTGGTACAAGTTAACAGGAGTTCCAAAGTGGCAGCCTAAGGACTAAATTTGGCTTATAAACATGTATTCTTTGGCTTGTTGAATCTTAAAACTACACACACACACACAAAAAAAGGACAAAAACTGAATTAGTGACCAAAATTTTGAAAACTAGTAATTTCATATTTTAAAAAGCCCCGGATTTTTGGGTTCTCTTAAAAAAGGCAGATACCCTGCATCCATTGGCACAATTTCCCAATGGCAGTTCAAAACTTCATTAATGGAGATCTGGGTCTGGGAGGAGTCTGTATGTTCTCTGACACCCCTATTTCCTTACCCGGGAGATATTGAATCTTCCCAGCCCATGGATGCCATTCTCAGCACTGTGTCATGTTGTGCCCCAGCATTACAGTGCTATCTCCCAGGGACACCGGAACTAAGCACTGGCTTGCCTGAAAAATCACTGAAAAATCAGTGATGCTTTGTATTCAGCCTCACGCTTCTTCAGTACATCTTCCACTGTGTTTATCTCCTTAGGAGCTGTCAAGCCCTTTGGATGAGATAAATGCAGTACACAACAACACCACCTTTGGAACCCATCTCAATTTGTAGTTTCAGAATTCTCCAAACCAATTTCAGCTATGATTATCATATGCTCTTACCTTAAAATTTTGAACCCTAAACCAGGCAAGTAGCTTGTCAATCTGTTCACTCCCTCTCTGGGAGTTGTCTTGCCCTCCCCAGCCATCAATCCTGGATGAAGGCCTCTGGGGGAAGCCTGCTGAGGAAGAGGTCTGCTGCTAAATTGGTCAACTCCACCCACCTGAGGTGCACTGCAGGGAAGGGAAGGGGAAGACTCATAATGGAAGGGGAGGACTCATAATGGGCCCAGAACTGTGGTGCTCAGGGTGAGTTTATTTAAAAAACATGGAGTATATCAGAGGATTTTGGCTAAATGGCTAAGCATAGAAAGAGATAATACTCAGGCATAAAAACATTTAATGTATAGTGTTAGGAATTTATAAATAATGATTAGATCTCATTCTAAAACCTGCTTTAAAATTAATGCTTGTTATGAGTTCAGTTGTGTACTCCTCCTCCCATAAAAAGATATGTGAGGGCTTATAATGCCTACCTCAGAACGTGAGTTTATTTGGATAGGACTTTTAGAGGAAATCAAGTTAAAATGATGTTGTTAAGGTGGGCTCTAATCCAGTGTGACTGGTATTCCTAGAAAAAGGAAAAATTATTCAGGCATGGTGGTATAGGCCTGTGACTCTCAGCAACTCTGGAGGCTAAGGCAGGAGGATCACAAGTTCAAAGCTAATCCTAGCAATTTAGTGAGGCCCTGAGCAACTTAGTGAGACCCTGTCTCAAAGCCAAAAATAAAAATGGCTGGGTATGTAGCTCAGTGGTAAAGTGCCCCTGGGTTCAATCCTCAGTGCCAAAAACTAAAACAAAAAAAGGGGGAAATTTGAAATCAGAGACATATATGTAGGGAGAATATCATGTGTAGATGAAGATGAGGGTTTTGGTTATGCATTTGCAAGCTAAAGAACACAAAGATTCCAGAAATCCACCAGACACCAGGGGAARGG